TTTAGTCTGCACTTCTTTTTCTAGCTGCTTAAAGTGTAAACTTAGGTTACTAATTTGAGATATTTCTTTTTTAAAGTAGGCGTGTACAGGTATAGATTTCCCTCTGAGCACTGCTTTCGCTGAATCCCATAAACCTTGTATTTTCATTGGAATTAGTCTCAAAGTATCTTCTAATTTCTCCTGTGATTTCTTCTGTCTCCCACTGGTTGTTTAAGAGTGTGTTCTTTAATTTCCACATATTTGTGAATGTTCCAGACTGCTTTCTGTAACTGGTTTCATATTCCATTCCATTTTTTGCAGAAGATGTTTTGTACGATTTCAGTCTTCAAACATTTATTGAGACTTGTTTTGTGAACTAACATGTGGTTTATCGTGGAGAATGTTTTATGTGCACTTTAGAAGAATGTGTATTCAGCTGCTGTTGGGTGGAGAAGTCTGCATGTGTCTGTTAGGTGTAGTTTATAGTGTTGAAACTGGGTTGAGCTGCCTACTTCTCCCTTCAATTCTGTCCACTTCTGTGATATATTTTGGGGTCCTTTTCTTAGGTATATGTATTGTTTATAACTGTTATATCTTCTTGTTGAATTGACACTTTTATCATCATACAATGTCCTCCTTTTTCTCTTATAACAATTTTTGTCTTAAAGTCTATTTTTTTTCTGATATTAGTAAAGCCACTCCAGCTCTCTTTGATAACTATTTGCATGCAATATCTTTTTCCATTCTTTTACCTTCAACCTACTTTTGTCTTTGAATCTAAAGTGAGTCTTTTGTAGATGGGTTTTTTTTCTTTTATTCATTCTGCCAATCTCTGCCTTTCAACTGGAGAGTTTACTTATGTTTATATTTCATATAATTACTGATAAGGAAAGACTTCTGCCATTTTGCTATTAGTTTCCTATATGTCTTATGTTATTTTTTGTTCCTCAATTCCTCCATTACTGCCTTTTGTATTAGAAAGGCATTTTCTAGTACACTATTTTGCTTTCTCTCTCTCCCTCTTTCTTTTACTATATATCTCTATTTTATTAATGATTTTCCCTTGAAATTATAATTAAAATCTTAATTTATAACAGTTTAGTTGAAATCAATACTTAGTGTCAACCAAACACACAATGTTCCTAAGTAGCCACTCCCATCCTTTTATGTTATTATTACCCATTATATCTTTATAAATTGTCTATCAACTTAGATTTGTAACTGTTGCTTTATGTAGTTGTCTTTTAAATCATACAGGAGAAAAAAAGAGGAGTTACGACTGAAAATACATTAATACTGACTTTTATATTTAATTATGTAGTTCTCTTTCTGGTGTTATTCCTTGCTGTGGATTCAAGTTACCATCTAGTGTCCTTTTATTTAAGCCTGAAGGATTCCCTGCAGCATTTCTTCTAGGACAGGTCTACTAGTGAAAACACTCTCTCAGCTGCTGTTTACCTAGGAATGTCTTAATTTCTCCTTCATTTTTAAAAGATAGTTTTGCCAGATACAGAATTCTTGCTTGGTGCTTTGTGTCTTAATCAGCACTTGAATATGTCAGCCCATTGCCTTTTGGCCTCCCTGATTTTTGATGATAAATTGCCCCTCAATCTTATTGAAAATCCCTTGTAAGTAATGAGTCACTTGTCTCTTATTGCTTTCAAGATTGTCTTTGGCTTCTGACACTGATTATAATGTCTCGATGTTGGTCTTCTTGAGTTTATCCTGTTTGGAGCTGAGATTCCTGACATGTATGGGTTCATGCGTTTCATCAAATTTCGGAAGTTTTTGACCATTATTTCTTTGTATACATTTTCTGCTCCTTTCACTCTTTCATCTTCTACTGGGAGTCCAATTATGAGTATACTGATAATGTTTAAGATGTCCCATAGGTCTCAGGCTCTGTTCATTTTTCTTCATTCTTTTTTCTTTCTGCTCCTCTGACTGGGTAATCTCAGTCCACCTATCTTGAAGTTTGGTGATTCTTTCTTTTATCTCCTCAAACCTGCTGTTGAACCTCTCTAGTGAATTTTTCACTTCCCTTACTGTACTTCTCAGTTCCTGAATTACTATTTGGTTCCCTTTTATAATTTCTCTTTATTGATATTCTCTATTAGATATTTTCTGTCATTCTCATGGTTTAGTTAGTGCTTTGTATATCATTTCCTTTAGGTTTCTGAGAATATTTTAAACAGTTGATTGACATTCTTTGTCTATAAGCCCAGTGTCTTGGCTTCCTCCAGGAATGTTTTTATTAAATTTCTTTTTCCTGCTTATGGCCCATAATTTTTCTTTGAATGCCAGGTTTTTGTTACAGTTAAAAACTGGACATTTTGAATATTATAATGTGGTAACCATGGAAATCATGTTTTACCCCCTCTCTAGAGTTTGTTGTTGCTGCTTATTTTATTTTGTCTGTGTGTTTAGTGACTTTACTGAACTAATTTTTTATAGTCTATACTCTGTAACACTTGGCCACCGAGGTCTGTCCTCTTAGCTTAGTGGCAATCTAGTTAATTGACAGAGATTTGCTTAAATGCTGAGATTCTGGTGTTTTTTCCCTTAAGTATTTGCCCAGTTGCTATAAAATATTGACTAGTTTCTAGAGTTCCAATAAAGTTAATTGTGACAGTTTTTGCCAGATTATTCACTGCTTTTGTGGAGGACTTTTAAAGTTTCCTGAGTCTTATTTATAGTCTATGGAAAATATTGTTGTTTTGTTTTAGCAGGCAATTTACCTAGTTAACGTCAGGTTAAAATTTCTACAGTGGGCTGTGGTTACAATGTCAGTTCAAGATCTTTCCTGCATGTGTGCCACCCAGACCTATGTGGTGGTCTGCTGGGATACAAAAGAAAATAAGAGCAGAGAATGTGCCAGAGCTGAAATACCAGTTCTGTCTGATTGAAAGCAACCAGCAGTTTGACTCATAGAATATCCACACTCTAGATCTATCATAGAAAATTTCACAACATCAAAAATAGAGAAATTCCTAAAAGCTGGCAGAAAGAAAGAAAAAAGTCCCCTACAAAACAGCAAGAATTAGACTGGTAAAAGATTTTTCATCAGTATCACTGGATGTTTTAAAAACAATGATACAATGCCTTTAAAGTTCTGACAGGGAAAATGTTGATTTGGAACTCTTTATCCACTAGGGTTATTAATGAAGAATAAAATATTTTCAGGCAAGCACAGACCCAGAATGTTTAATGTAAATGCACACCTTTCTTAGGAAGTTACTAGAGGGCCTTTAACAGCAAAATGACAGAAAAATGACATGCAATCCAGACAACAATGGATCCAACCCAGGAGAATAATAAAGGAAAGTCCCAGGATGTCAGCTGAGACCTGAGTAGTGTAGGAAGATGGAAGGCTTTAGGGAGTGATCCTAGGAAAAGAAAGGACCCCCAAGATTTGTATATTACTCCTAAGAATTTGGAACTCAGGGAGGTGATGATAAAGGCAGAAAACTAAGGGAGAAAAAAACCATTCAAAAACCCATGAAAAAGCAAGAAGCTATACAAGAAAGGAAATGGAACCATAGTATGCTACTTTATCCTGCTCAGTTGTATATGGAATAATATTTACAAAATCGTAACAGTATAAACACTTTTCTATTCTTAGAATCAACTAGTAGACAAAGCACAGAAAATGCAGAAACAGATTATGACACAGAAACAGATTTTTGCAGCTGTGAAAATATAGAGGTTAATGGTAAAACTGCAAGTAACAGTAGGAAGCCAAAAGATACTGTCTGTTGTTTGTTGTTGACAAAGAAGGGGCAAATTCCATTTTAAAGACCAGAAAAGTAACAACAGAAGAACAAAAAGTAGTAATATAACTAAACTGGGGAGAATGGAGATGGGGCAGTGTAAGTGACCTAACTCATTTGTGAGAGCAAGGTAACATAAGAAGAAGAAATAATATCTAACCTTAGTAAATCAAGAAAGAATATCCAAACTATATTGCTTAGAGATATCAGAGTAAACTTCAGAAGAACTAAAAACAAAATTAGGAGAAAGGGGTTCCTCCTGAGTAGTGAGACTATATGTCATAAATTTTCGTGTACCATTTGATATTTTTATGCATGTGCATCTATTAGTTTGATGAAATTTTTTAAAAATTAAGACTTTTGTATAGTTCAACATTCCAGAGCTATGTAAAGATATAATTAAGTCTCCACACACTCTGCTCCCTCATTCCCACCTCCTCTCTGCTAAGGTGACCAATGTGTTTCCTTTCACATACTCTGTGTATTTACAAGCATCCTATACATACTATTCTTGTACCTTGCCTTTTTTATGTAACAATATGTCTTGGAGATATTTATGTATTACTACTGAGCTTCATATTTTTAATGGCTGCATATGATTCCATTACTTAGATGCATCATAATTTATTTAGTCAGTTCTGTACTGACAGGCATCTGTTATTTGCCCCAATTCTTTGCCATTTCAAACAATACTATCATAATAAATTGACAAATATTTTAAGAAAAAAATTTAAGGCATTCTTTGCTTCTGTCTCTCAATTAGATAATGAACTTGGCTTTCATATCTGCATCCTTAGCATACAGTAGCTATGGAATATGTTAATTTAGGTTGAATTGAATTTAAATGTGGAAACTAACCTATGCAAATATTTAAATAAGATACTGTAATTCTAAAATCAATTTTATGGCACAGCAAAGACAAGAGTATTATGGCTAGAAATTCATAATACTCTGCATACTCAGTCTTTGCTTTACAATTAAACAGAGAAAGGAAAAGTAACACTGCAGCTCAGTAAAGGAAAACTGGGACAGGGCTATGGTCAGGTAAATGCAATGAACAGACTGCTCACATGATCCTAGCTTTCTAGATAACCAATATTCAAGATGCTGAAGAGCTTCTAACTTCTCACAGAGATGTTAATGGGTATACGTAGACTACAGAATCCTTAGTGTCTTACTAATGAGAGAAAGAAAATGAAACAAATCAATCAATTTCCTTGATTGGAAATTAACCCACCAATACATACTTACTCTGAGCTCTTTTGGGCCTGTATGGATTGAAAGCAAGTGTAGAGTACCCGTCCAGTCTACAAAATAAAAAAAAAAAAAGAAAGAAACAAACAAACAAAGAGAATAAGGTCACACAGAGGATTAATACTGAAAAAGGTATAGCAATTTAGTAGACTCTAACCTAAAACTCAAAGGCCCCTCTGAGAATGGAAGTTTAAAAGAGATTCCAAAGATGGAACATGGCATAAATGAAGTTTGTGTAAGAAAGATCAAATACTCAGTCAACATCTGTTCACATGACAGCAGAGAACTGCTCACAGACTCAAGAACCAAGAAACTAAGAACCAGACCATTCAAATTGCTTTGTTGGACACTGACAAAGTCCTTCAAAAACTATTTATAATGACAATAAATAAATTTATAATGACAAAGCCAAAGCATTTCAAATGAAGTATGAAGTTCGAGATACTGAACTTTAATGTTTCCAGAAAAGACTGATTTTGTGAACAATACTTATTATTAACATAGATTTTGAGAATATAGCTAACATACTAAACAACAGGACACACTTGATAAGTCATCAAAATTCACCCTCATTGTAAGATGACCAAATGAGTTATCATCCAAACCAGGACACTTCCAAGAAGGAAAGGTGCTAATTGAATGGGAGCCTGGGACTGACAGAGGCAAGCTGGGATACATGGCCAGGTTCTTCCTCACTCTCCTGGAGCCACACTGACTTCCCTGATGTCCCCCAGACATGCCACAGTCACCTCAGGGTCTTTTCACTGGCTGTTCCTCTACCTGGAGTGCTCTCCCCCAAGAAATCCACAAGACTTGCTCTCTCACTTTCTTCAGGTCCTGACTCAATCACACTTCTCATTGAAACCTTCCCTGACCACCCTATTAAAACTGCAGAAACATTTTCTCTATTCTGTGTGTATGTGTGTGTTTATACACACAGGCACATATGTGCATGCGCACACACACACTCACACACGCAATACCTTTGTGTTTTTATCTTCTATGAAACAGGAAAATATAAGTCCTACAAAGCCTTGATCCATCATCTGGTACATGGCTTGCGTGCGAACATCTGCAAATAACAAAAATTAAAATCTGTTGTCAATAAACTATATCTCCCAGACATGAAGATTTAAAGATAGTAATAGCATACAATCCTCCCAGGATTCAGATTCTAAAGGCAGAACAGGGATATATTCTAAGGACAATATGATTGTCAAAGAATAAACATTTTGGTAGGTTAGGGAAACACCATGGGAGACTGCAATTAGATAAGAAAACATTAATAACTGTAGGCTGCCTAGCAGCCCACTACTAACCCTGCTATGAAATGTACATAAATGGAAAACTTCAGTTAGTCCAAAAAATCCTGATAATTTCTTCCAGGAAAGGAAGGCATTGGAAGGAGTCAAAAAGATTTCTTGGAATAAGCCTTTTGGTGGACAGCTTCTACGGAAGTGGGTATGTTAGACCTGATACTAAAGAATGGAAGTGTGGAACTATCACAGAGCAAACGCTTATTGAGGAAACCATCATACAGAAATGACCGCAACAGAATTAAACTCAATGTTCCAGGGAATAGAAACAAAACATCACAATATGGTTATGTAATTTTTGAAAAGGAAGTAATAAACAAGCATCAAATACAATATTTGAAAGGATTAGGTAAAAGATTCCCAAAATCTGAACAGAGGCAAAGTTTAAAGATCTGAATTCTTCAGACCACTGTTTATGGACACAAAAGATCGGGTATTACAACCAAACAGTGCAGAGCATGGTCTGGTCTGCTGACTTATGCCCACTTAGTTTGGCAGTATGTTCTTAAATATACTTAGCATTTATACCTTTTGACCTGGAATGGGACTTCTCCCCAATATCTTCCTAAGAGTTAAGACCAAACAGTACCCAGCAAAGAATATGAAGGAAACACTGTCTGAAACTTGGTGAAAATACACAGCATTGTATAAGTGGTCTCTGTACCATGGTAAAAATTTTAATACCTCTAAGCCTATTTCCTGATCAGTTAAATACGGATAAACATCATCCCTACTTTGACAGGGCTTTGTCTGTATTTTAAAAATTGCAAGACCTCTTAGCACAATGCCTAGTACATCAAAGGTAGTTCAGAAGCAGTCATTACATTTTGCTTCACCCACAACCACTGATGAAGAATTAATAATCTGAGTCTGAAAAGGATTACTGTCCATACTGTGCCAGCCAAAGTGCTTTTGTCAAGATCTATTTTTGGTCCTCAATTTATCTGATCACTCCCTCCTTGAAACACTTTCTTCACTTGGCCTCACATTCCCACTCTTCTCACCTCTGTCCTCTTAACTTCCTGGCTCTTCTTTTCCAGTCTCTTTTGCTGTATCCTTCCTATCTGCCCAAGGCTCAGTCTTCAGTCACCATGTCTTCTCTCTCTACACTCACTCCCTGCGGGATTTCATCAAAACTCATCTCTACACTGGCCACTCCCAACTCCCACCCAAGAAACTCTAGTCTTGGTCCTCCACCCAAACTCCAGATGCACATCTGTAGTTGTGTGCCTAGTACTCTGACTGGTTGTCTTAATACTGTGCTACTCAGAGTGGCAGGCCCGTGAACTATTTGTTACCTATTCACAAGGAGAGAAGAGCTTGAGCTGGAATGGAAATTAATGTTCCATTTTCTTCACTGAGAAAGTCTTCTTAAGGAAAATGTAAGCTGAACTAAACAATATGCTAAGTTGACATGAATAATTTATGTTTGGTGTAAGCTCCTTGTGTAACTGGTCATGGACCAAGGACAGTGCAGGTGAGCATCACTTGCCTGCCAGACATTTGAAACTCAGTATGTCCAAAACCAAACACCTGACTTCCTCCACAAAATCTGCCACTCCAAGACCACCCCCCTTCTCAATCAGAAGCAACTCCATCCGTCCAGGTGTTCAAGCCAAAACACTTGAGCACATTTTTTATTCCTCTTTTTTCTCATATCCTATACCCAATTCAGCAGCAAATTCTGTTAGCTCTACCTTCAAACCGTAACCAGAATTTGATCCCTTCTTACCACCTCCTCCTCAACTACTACCGTGATCCAACAAAGCCACTCTACAGTGGCCCTCAAGGGCCTTTGGATCTTCTGCTGCCCCTATTACCTCCCTGTCCTCACTTCCTATCACTCTCCCTCCTCCTCACTGAGCTCCAGCCATACAGGCTTTTCCTCATACAGTCCAGCCACGCTCCTCAGGACTGCTGCATAGATTCTTCCTCTCTGTCTGGAACGCTCTTCCAAAGATATCTGCATGGCCAACTCTCTCAGTTCCTTCAGGTTTTTGCTTAACTGTTACCTTCTCCCTGCGGCCTAATCACATTAGTTAAAATGTAAACCCCACCCCCAGCCCACAGGCACCCCATGCCCCTTACCCTGATTCACATTTTTTCCTCAGATACCTTAATTCCTTCTAACTTACCTCCTAACTGCCAAATCCAAGAGATACAGTTTAGCCTAAATGCATGCCATCCAGGAGAACTTTCTGCAGTTGTGCTGTCCAGTTTGTCTTTCAGCATTAGAACAGGTCATTATTTCTTCAGTTGAATATCATATGAGGCAGCCTGCTTGCATTCAGGGGCCACATTATATGAGAAATATGTATTTGTATACACTAGAGACAGATTCTGAGAGGAGATGTTCACATTTATGAGACAGTCTGAAGGGACAACAGAATCACAGCCCCCAGTCCCTGGTGTGAAAGCAGAACAGCATCATATTTGTAAGCATCATATTCTTTAATTTACTCTTGACTTAAAATTTCCCTGAAACAGAAACTACAGGCCCCAGTTAATAATAAAAAATTTTAAAAGGAGACTATATGTACAAGTGTTTCTAGAATAAAAGGCCTAAGATAGCCATTGCATTACAATAAAATTTTCCTCCAGCTTTCACTTATTCTATACCTTGTCCTAATAGTTTCCTTTTAAGTCTGTTTGGTAAAAAGTGCATACAAATGTATTAGCATGTCAAAAATTGTTTATAATGATTCTAAGGAGTTTTGACTTCTAACTTCTAGAACAGAATGCTAGTTTGGGAAAATAAACTTTTTTAAAATGATTGGTTATAGAAAACTGCTTAATTGTATTTGTCATGGTGATAAATTAACTCACTACGACATCACTGCAGCAGTTCTGATTATGTCACTTCTTATACAGGGATCAAGCAGATCTTAGAATTAGGAACAAAACTATAGGCACATTTCTTCTTTTACTATGCACTTACAGGGACAACTTAAATCAGTGCCAAGTCTCATGAAGTTTATGAAATAGGGCTGCATTATTTAAATTACTTCCCTATTTCTTTTGAAAACCATGTCCTATAGGTAAAATTTGGATAAGGTCATTGCATGCATATGATGTAACTAAACTCTCTCTCTCTTTCCCCACCACCAAACCTACACTTCCTCCCCCATTTCCTGTTTTCACTTAACCAGGCAAAGCAGACGCTGCTTCATAGAAATCTCAGTTCAGATACTGACTCTGTCACTTACTAAACCATCTGGTTTGGGACAAGGTATTTCAGTTCTGAGCCTCAGCTTAGTTTCTTCCCTTAAGAGCCACACTCGGGAAGTGTTTCAAGAAGCAGAGAGTGGTTGTAGTGCCAAATGCTACGTAATACAGAGACTTAAAATGTTTACTAGATTTTCAACATGGGCGTCACTGATGATTTTAGCAAGATCCACTTCAACAGTGATGGGCTAGAAGCCAGACTAGCGTTGGGTGAGGAGTATGGGTGAATGGTGAGAAAGTCTTTCAGTCTGGCTGTGAAAGCCAAGACGGACCTGAAGGGGGAGTGGGACTTGGAACTGTGTTTTTCACTGTGTTCTCTTCAACATGGGATGTGTGAGCATGTTTGAAAGCTCTATGAAGGCAGAGATCTTGCTTCTCTCATTCACCGATTTATCTCTAGCACCTTGAAGACACGGTCTCTGTTGTAAGAGTGAAGGGGGAAGATGGGCACAGTGATAGGTAAAGGGAAATGGTGAAAATTCCTTTCTAAGTGACTCCTGTTTCCTCTATAAAGGAGGAAGCAGTGGCATCTACTGAAAGTGAAGGAGGAAGTAGGGAGCTCAGAGGTGTGGGGATAAGAAAAAAGCTGAGGAACTAGTTCAGATTGAGACAAAAATGATGTGAGACTAAATGCCTTGCATGATCTGAGATTGAAGCTCTGGAAATCCACAACAATCTATTCATCGTACACATCAGCTTGGCTGGGAGAGTTTCCCTTTAGTTCTGCCCAGTTTTACTACCACAAACACTTTGACATCTCAGTTGACAGACCTGCTGTATTCTTATTGTTAATCATTCGAATGTTGTCTGCCCTTCAACTCTAGATATGTAATTGTGCTCTGTGTCCTCAAAAGTTTTACTGATAAATACTTTGGCTTCTTTCTTTGGTATTGTGATAAGCATGGGACAAAATGCCATATATAGTCATCCCTCAGAATTGTTCCCAGGACATGCCCCCCGCCACCCTACAATACCAAAATCCACGGATGCTCAAGTCCATTATATAAAATGGCCAAGTACTGGCATATAACCTCTGCACATCCTCCTGTATGCTTTAAACTGTCTCTAGATTACTCATAATACCTGATGCAATGTCAATGCTGAGTAAATAGTTCTAAATACAATGTAAATGCTATGTAAAGAGTTGCCAGCACACAGTAAATTCAAGTTTTGATTTTTGGAACTTTTTGGAATTTTTTTCCCAAATATTTCCAATCCATGGTTGGGTGGATCCATGGATACAGAGCCCACAGATATGAAAGGTCAACTGTACTTGACTTCACCTGCTTCTACTAACAACTCTGTCACAGAGGAAACAATGGCACAGAGAAGTTAGAAGACCTTCTCAACAAGCAAGTGACCAAAACAAGATTCTAACACAGGCCTATTCACTAACAGAATCCAAAGCTAGGGTTCCCAACTCTCGTGCTATTACAACTCTCTGAACTTTCTATCTGCAGTTTAAAAAATTAACACTCTCAGAAGTGTCTTTCAGCAGAGCTTTTATTACATTTTCTGTTATTTGTTCCTTTTGCTTTCCAGGGTGAATTTAGGGGTAAAGAGGAATAGAGTCTGCAACTTACTCTCAGACACAGACACATATATACATACACACGTATGTACAAAGAAAACAATACAGCAAGTGTTACAAACTGTTACTATTTGGCAAATCTGGGGGAAGAGTATTCAGGAATTCTTTGTACTGTTTTATTAATAAGAGACTGTAAACATCAATTTTGTAAATTTCACCCTTCACACCTTTGCTTCTTCCAAATGGACTGTGGTATTCAGCATTCAGCAATTTTGTTTATAGTTTACTTATTTATGTATTTTTTGGTTAGCAACCAATTGTCAGGCTTTAGTCTTGATTTCCTGAATACTGTCAAAATGAAATGTTATTTCTATTAAAAACAATCAATATGACATAAATCATTACTTTGAAAACTGCAAAATAAGAATAAAGACATCTGTTTAAAGATAGTTACATTTTGATTTAAAATAAGCATAGCCCATGTAACAGCGAAGGAAAAATGATACTCATTTCTGAAAACAATAAACATTGCAACCACATGATACTTACCAACATGTGAAGGCCAAACAGTTATATGTGGGTGGGAATGATACCAGCCCACAACCCTCATGGGGCGGCCTGTCAGTTCAGCCAACCTGTGTGTCTGTCAAGGTATTTTCAACTTGTGGGAACAAAACCTGCAATGCTAGTAAGGGCTCAGAAAACATCTTGGAGTTTAAAATAAACCTATTACAATTTAATGTCAACAAAAGAATGAAAAAAGACCAATGCCCAGAATCTCCCAGACTTCCCATTTAAAGCCAAAGGTGTTTCTTTTTTTAAACATAGAATCCATCTGGTTTCCATTACTGTATAGAGTTATACCCTCTTAATCCAATTTAGCTAATACTTGATCACTCAAATACTTATCACTGTGCTACGTGAAAAGAAGTTTCTAAACCTTTGGAAGTCACATTATTAAGTAATCTATCCTCACTCTAGCCCATCCTCCTCTCATTCTTGAAAAAGTACAAGAGTTTAAAAATTCATTTGATTTCTCTCTGGCAGGCTGCCAAGGTCAATAATAGCAACCAAGTTGGTTTCAGAGACAAAATGAACAGTGACCCCCACTTGTCTAGAAATAGCCCCCCAAAGAATATGTGCCTCCTTTGTTCTAGAAATTAAAATCTACCATAACTATCTGAGACTGTAACTTGAGATAAAAACTCAACTGGAGATAAGCTGTCCCCTTCTGCAGCTGATTGATTCTCCCACAAGTTACTTACATTAAAATCCAATCACCCTTTCCGTACAACTAAGTCTAAGAATACTTTTTAAATGTTTTTTTTAATTTTCAAATGCCAAGAGAAGTTACTTAACTTCTCTAGGCCTATTTCTTCAGCAGCAGCCTGGTGGGAATTCTGCTTCACGTATGGCTAGAGCTACACCTACATACCACCTCTGCCCCAGCAAGTCCACAATCTAGGAATTGATCCTGCAGATACACACACACATTGTGAAACGCAGTACATACAAGGTTACTTGCTGCAGCACTGTTAGAGTAAAAGGTTACAAATAACAGCACAGTCATAAGGATGAGGCGTCACTGTATCTCTAACTGATGTGGACAATTCTCTAGATACACTGTTATGTAATGGCATAAGCGATCATATATATTAGATACTTTTTTAAAAAGAAAATATTCATATATGTTTCTGTGTGCACAGAGTTCATCCATAAGGACACATGAAAACCTAACAACCCTGGTTATGTCCAGAGAGGGACAGGGCAGGGAATTGGGGCATAGAGGTTGCAGAGAAATACTTATTTTGTACAACTTTTCATACCTTTTAAAGTCTGTACCATGTATATGTACTATTTTTTAAAGTTTCTTTTTAACTGACTACAAGACTTAATCCAAAAGAACAATAAATTACCAGAACCACTGATGCAAATTTAATTTGTTATAGCTGAGGTATGGGGTCACATCTGATCATTCTTCCGTTATATTTAACATGGAATCTTACATTCAGTTCTCAGTATTGCACTTTTTTGAGAGGCAGCCTCAAAAGAGAATCTCCAAAGGGCAGAGACTAAGACGGGGTTGGGGTACTAGGGAGGGTGTAGGGAGGAAGGAGGAGGTGACCCCCGTAGAGTTCATTGTCATAGGATTTGACCCCGGGATCTTTGGGCATTTAAGAGCAGGAATGTTAGAAATGTCTAGTTCTCCCATTAAAAAGTCACTCAAAATGAGGAACAGAAATAAATTCTGATTAATGAAGCAGCTGGATCTAAGGAGGTAAACATGAAAACCGGGAAAGAGTCACCAAGAAGAAAACCTGTGAAATCTCCTAAAGCAGCAAACAAAGGAAAGTGGGGCTTCCAGAGCACAGAAAAGTGTCTCATCGACCAAGAAGGATATCTCTGCCTCTGTTGAGGCCGCTGACAGCTGCTCTGGAGAAATTTCCACTCGGTCCTTCCTCTTATCAGAACGTCGCAAGATGATGACAGAATGAATATGAACAATTCTGACAGTGTCGACCTAAAGGAAAATCCACAGAAATGTTTACTTCTGCTCCTCTCAAATAACAATTAGAGGACTGTGATGTATTACATTATCAGGTTCAAGCTTCCATATTAGAAAACTGGCATTTTTCTCACAAATAATGGAATGTTTCAAATACATTCAACCTCAATATATACATTTTAAAACAAAAATATGAAGGATAATATTTAGATCAAGGAAGGACTTCCTGAATGATCAACTAATTGTTTGTTTCCAACTATGTGCAAAGCACTGTCACACAAAAGAATACAAGTCAGAGTGCTGACATTCCAAGTGTTCATAATGCTAACATCTGGTTGAGCAGCAAGTATCCCACATGAAACTACTCCAAAATAAATGCAGTTAATCAATGCTACAGGAATTAAGAGGAAAGGAGTCACTTACACTAGAAAAAAATCTTCATAGAAACAGCAGATGAGTATATCTATTTCCTGATTGCTGTGTGTGTGTGTGTTTGTATGTGTACACATATAAACAGAATTTCTGTAGATACTAAATCAGTATGAGTGAGCTGTTTGGGAGACAAGTTGGCCAACTGATTTAAATACACAACTTGAGGCAGAATGACAGACAGTAAGGCTAAGGAGGAAGGTTAGACTGAAAATATGCTTGACCATGAAGTAATCATTCAGTGCTGGACTAAGTGTATGTCAGAGATGGAGAGAGAAGCAAGATGGCAGAGTAGTAGGATGCTCATAGCTCACCCTCTCCCACAGATACACCAAGACTCACATCCACGGACCCACTCAGCCAACCAGGGCACCTGCCAAACTCTGACAGAACATCACCCTCTTTGAAAGACAAAGATGCCAAAAATCTGGTAGGAGAAAGGAAAAAAGAAAGAAGAAAAAGCAAAACAGTGCGGGACCGGTCCCGCGGGGAAGGAGCAGCAAAGGAGGAACAGCGCTCATTCGGTGGGTCTCCCCTCTCCAACGGGACAGAGGGGGAGCCTCCGAGGCTTGGATCTGCCCAGAGCACACCTTGACCGACAGAACTGAGTTAAACATCCACTAAGGGTCCCCACAACACCCAGCCCGAGACGCGAGCTGGCAGCTGGGGCCGGGACAGGCCACCCAAGCCGGGCGGGAGACTGGGGAGGCTGCACTGAGGCGGACCCGGGGGACTGCAGGGGGCTGCGCGCCGTGGCTGGGAGGAGATACGGAGCAGAACAACCTCAGTCCCCTATAAATTGCGAAAAAAGCAAAGCAACACAGCTGGTGTGCCCTGGGGGGAGGGGCACCATAGCCTTTGTCTCCTCAGACCTGCGCCGCCATTACTGGCACTTCTCTGAGAAGAGAGGCGGGGCTCAGCCACAGCCACCATATCCTCCTGTGCACAGCGCCCAAGTGGGGGCAGGGCTGAGCCCTGAATCTGCACCCGGGGGCTCCGCGGCCTCCTGGGCAGGACTGAGACTTGTTTACAGCCCGAGGCAGATAGGATCGTTCTGCCCTGGCACCTCAGAGAACACGAACCGCCAAGATAAACATGGAGCAGGGGCAGGGCGGTTCCGCGGTCTTCCCCGAGCCCGCCTTTGGGGCGCCGACCCGAGGCGGAGCGGGCAGCTGCACAGAGCAGCGGAGCGACTGGCACCAGGAAAGGGCGGGCGGCCACCCGCTTTCCTGGCAGGAACGCAGCACCTGACCACGGTGCTGGGAGGGGGTGCGATCCGCCCACCTGCCTCCCCCGGAGCGCAGCATCTGACTGCAGCATGAGGAGGGGGAGGGGGAGGGGGAGGGACCCGCCTGCCCACCGGATAAGAGCTCAGCATCCGACCAAGTGTTGGGAGGGGGCGCGATCTGCTGGCTGACAGCCACTGGGAGCAGCACAGAAGAGGGTGCCAACAGAGGGCCCCTGGAAACAGCAAGCTGAGTTCACGAAAAAGGGCAAAGACACAAAGACCTCTCAATTAAATCATTAAGAGCACAGCGTCTCCAGGAGAACTAGATAACTGATACTCCTTAAGCCACAGTGCCAGAGAGATATGAGCAATATGAAGAAGCAGAGGAACCACTCCCAATTAAAAAAGCAAGAGAAATCCCCTGAAAGCACGATCGAGGAAATAGACACTGATGACCTACTAGATCAAGATTTCAAAAAAGGAGTGATCAAAGTGCTGAAGTAACTAAAAGAGATAGTGTTTAGAGATACAAAATATGTCAAAAATGAAATAGAAGCTATAAAGAAGAACCAAGTAGAATTAGTAAACTCGTTGGCTGAGATGAGAGTTGACCTAAAGGCTGTGCAAAGCAGGCTAGATAATGCAGAGAAACGAATAAGTGACCTAGAAGACAGGACAACAGAAAGCACCCAAGCAGAACAGCTGAGAGAAAAACAAATTAAAAACAATGAAAACAATATAAGGGACCTATGGGATAATATAAAGCGTGCTAATCTATGCATAGTAGGGGTTCCAGAAGGGGAAGAAAGATCAAAGGGGATTGAAAAGGTATGGGAAGAAATCATGACTGAAAACTTCCCAAACCTAAATAAAGAATCAGATATCTAAGTCCAGGCAGCTCAGAGGGTCCCAAATAGGAAGAAACCAAACAGACCCACACCAAGACATATCATAATCAAGATGGCCAGAGTCAAGGATAAAGAAATGATCCTAAAGGCAGCAAGAGAAAAGCAAAGAGTGAGTTACAAGGGAACCCCCATAAGTCTCCCAGGTGATTTCTCTACACAAACACTACAGGCCAGAAGGGAGTGGCAAGATATATTCAAAGTCCTGAATGAAAAAAAGATGCAGCCTGGGATACTCTATCCAGCAAGGCTATCGTTTAGAACAGGAGACATAAAGAACTTCACAGACAAGCAAAAACTAAAAGAGTTTAGCAACACTCAACCCATGCTGAAAGAAATATTGACAGGTCTACTCTAAATAGAAAAGCAGCAGGATGCTACAAAAATGAGAAATTCGTAACTGGAAAGGAGATAACTGTCATGAATTCCAAATAGAATAAACACAAAATTGTCAAAGAAGACATCTAAATCATTAAGAGTGGGAGACGGAAGCAAGGAAAGCCACTGTGGAAAACAGTATGGAGATTCCTCAAAAGACTAGGAATAGACTTACCATATGACCCAGGAATCCCACTCCTAGCCATATATCCAGAAGGAACCCTACTTCAGGATGACACCTGCACCCCAATGTTCATAGCAGCACTATTTACAACAGCCAAGACATGGAAACAGCCTAAATGTCCATCAACGGATGACTGGATAAAGAAGAAGTGGTATATTTATACAATGGAATTCTATTCAGCCATAAAAACCGACAACATAATACCATTTGCAGCAACATGGATGCTCCTGGAGAATGTCATTCTAAGTGAAGTAAGCCAGAAAGAGAAAGAAAAATACCATATGAGATCACTCATATGAGGAATCTAAAAACAAAACAAAACATAAATACAAAACAAAGCATAAATACAAAACAGAAACACTCATGGACATAGAACACAAACTCGTGGTTGCCAAGGGGGCAGGGGGTGGGAAGGGACAGACTGGGATTCCAAAATGTAGAATAGATAAACAAGATTATACTGTATAGCACAGGGACATATATACAAGATCTTATGGTAGCTCATGGAGAAAAAAATATGACAATGAATATATGTATGTTGACATTTAACTGAAAAATTGTGCTCTACACTGGAATTTGACACAACATTGTAAAATGACTATTACTCAATAAAAAAAGTAAAAAAAGTGTATGTCAGAGATGGAAGAAACAGATTTGAGATTCATTAAGAAGGAAGAATTCACAAGATTTGGTAGCTTACGGACCATGGGTGATAGAGGAAAGGAAATTGTCCAGCATGACTCTAAAGTTTCAAGGATGAAATTCAGTAGAACACAGGACTAGGTGTAGAAAGGATCAAGAAGGAAGGGAGATGTGTGTGTTTGCAGATGAGCTGAACTGAGATGAGAAGCTGTAAATAAAGGCAAGGAGTAGTGTGGGGAGAGGGAGCTAAGGTCCAGGGTGAGTCAAGGAGGGACTCACAGGTAGGATGCGGTACAGTAAGAGAAGCCGGGAAGGAAGACAGAGGAGTCAAAACCAGAACAATGACACGGTTCAAGAGTTTCAGGAGAAAAGATGGGGATGGCATTGCCAGATGTTGCAGGCACAAGGGTGAAATCTGAGAGGAGGGTTTGAAGGAAGTTATAGATCTACACTGTGCAACCCAGCAGCCAGGAGGCACATGTGGCTACTGAGCTTGAACGTGGTTCTCCTTCTAGCCTTTAAATTCCTTGCTCATCCTATAAAGAATAAAACAGTCTCCCCTCTCATACAACTTTCCTTAGAATACACATGTATCTGCTAGAGCTTATGACATGTTGTGTTCTACTTGTTGACTTAAGCTCCTCCTCTACTAGAACATAAGCTCCTTTACAGCAGGAGACAAAGAGCTGATCTTTGACCAGAAACAATGAAAGCATGACGAGAATGGGTGACATGTTAGAAAAGATCTGCCAACCGAGACGTCTATATTCAAAATGAAGGCAAAATGAAGACATTTTCAGGTGCAAAAAATCAAGAGAATTCATTAGCAGCACAGAAATGCTACAGAGAGAAAGGAAGGGATGAGGAACACTGTCAAGGGTAAAATATGTGAGCAAATACAAAACAGTAATAACAATGTCATGTGGTGCTTAAACTAGAATTAAAATGCATGACAACAATAATCTAAAAGGTAGGAGGATGTAAAGCTCTGGTATTATTCAGGAAATGTTAAAACAGTCATTCGTATTAGACTAACAAATCAAGAATGCATACTGTAATATGTAGGATAATGACTAAAAGGAAAATAAAAGAATGTTATAACTAATTAATGGAGGATTGAGGGGAATAATAAGATATATTTGATGAAATACTATAAATATGAAAATGATGAATATTTTGAAAAATAAAATTACATCATTAAGATTGGCAATGTGTTTATCAAGAGTTGATGCCCGGGCTGAATGCTCTCTCTCTCTCTAGTCAGAGAGGTTTCACTGCCTAAGAGGAATGAGGAAAAGAAGTTCAGGATAGGATGGTGAGGCTGGCCCAGAAATAGATTTTTAAAAAATACAAGCATAAATAAAGGTCACAAAGAACTGAAGCGTTTGGGGAACAGACTGTTATGGTCATAGTCACACAAGAAATAAGATACTCCAGCCTGGCTAGATGGGTCCCTACACTTTTCCAGTCTTGGAATTAAGGTACTAAAACTCAGTTCCTTTTGCTCCTCTGTCCTAGTACACAGATCAAAGGTCAGCAGACTATGGCCTGCCCCACCTCCCTCAGGCCAGACCTGGCCACATTCATTCATTTGCTACACTGGCAAAGCTGAGGAACTGCCACATACACTGGATGGCCCACAAGGCTAAAAATATCGACCGTCTGGCCCCTTACAGAAAGTCTGCATGCCCTGGCCTGGCTCTCCAGGGATCGCAGGCAGGTAACACGAACTTCCTATCGCAGGGGATGTATGTTAATTCATAAAATATGTATTATCAAGTATGTACTACATGCGAAGCACTACATGAGAGCCTAAGTATAACAAGATACAGCAGTCACATCCAAGAAGAGAGACAAATGAACATACATGCACTGAAGTAGATATGCTCAAGGAGATAGCCTATGGGTCAGGGCAGGTTCCTTAAAGAGGCAGGTGGCACCTGGGTTGAACTGCAAAGGATAAGGAGTTAGCCAACCGTAGAAGGAGGGGGAAGCAGTCCAGGTATAATACCCAGCAGATACAAGCAGTGAAACAGCACAGTGTAATCTGGAAGCCAACATAATTTACCATGGTTAGAACCTGGATCCACGCAGACAAATGTACAGAGATAAACAGAAAGGAGATCATGAAAGGCCCTGAGTGCTTCAGTAATGACACTTCATCCTGAAGGTAATAGGAAACCCTTTGAATTTTAAGCAGAGTTATATGAGACTTATGTTCTCAAAAGGTCACATCCTAAGCAGTCAGAAGACTAGAGGTGAGAGGGACTCATGGCAAGGAGGCTAGTGTAGAGGCTAATGCAGTGGTCAAGAAAGGAAGTGATGAGGACCTCAAATAAGGCAGCAGTAGTTGGGAAGAAGTGTTGGGAACAGACAAGAAAGCAATCCACATTAATGGTTCTGAATGGCAGGCAGTGGTTCCCAACTTGGCTGCACATTAGAGTCCCTTGGGGAGCTTTTCAAACTCTGCCACACAGGTCTCACCCAGGACCAACTAAGTCAGGACCAGGAGTTTGTAGAGATTACTAGGGGATTCCAAGTTGCTGCCAGGTAGTAAGGGGACTACTATGGCAGGAAGAATGTTGGAGGAGCAGGTTTGAAGAAGAGGAAAGGCTAGCTTTGAACATCTTAGTTTAGGATGCCTGTGTCTAGCTACCCTTGGATATCCAGAGGGCAGTTGTGTATGAAGTTCTGGAGCTTGAGATAATTTATACTAAGCGGCATGTATAGAGCATTAACCACAACAAGCCAGAATGGCCAGCATTTATTGGCAACCTGCTATCAGTCAGGCATTGGAAAAGTGCTTTTCCTGTATTAACTTAATGAACTCTCCCAATCACCCAGTGAGGTTGGTACTGTTGTTATACCCATTCTACAGATGAATGTCTTACATACCTTACCCAAATCCAACTCTCCCCAAAATTCTGTGAAGTTCGTGGCTGTCATTATCCCTGTTTAACAGATAAAGACAGCAAAGCTCACTGATGTTAAGTAGCATGTCCAAAGTCACACGATAAGTATCAAAGAAATTATTTGAAGACAGATCTGTCTAACCTCAACGTCTGCTGCAGGTAAAGCCATAGGGAAGGTAATGTTGTCTAGGAAGACATCCTGGGAAGAGAAGGAGGCCAAGACAGAAACTTTGAGAGGACCAACTTTAAAGCCATAGCAGAGGAGGAAGAGCCCATAAAGGATGGGAGGGAGAAGGGAGGAAAAGGCAGACACCGCAAAAAGAAAACATACAAAAATCCCGTGAGACTTCAGAGTTGTAAGGACAACGATGTAGTAATATAAACACCAAGGAATAATCCACTGCTGGAGCAGTGAGGATGTAGCTGGAGAGGTGGAACTAGAAACCAGACGTGGTGGGTTTCACTGGAGAAGGTAAAGAAGTAGTGATTGTATCGGATTCTTTTAAGAGGCCTGGCTCTTACAGGAAGGATATAAGAGTAGTTAAGTACAAGGAGATACAGCATTAAGAAGTTATTGTTCTTTCCCTTCTGAAAATGAGGGAAGCACAGCTGAATCCTAAGGGAAAAGAGCTGGATAACAGGAAGAAGTTGAAGACTCAGAAGAGAGACAGGAGATTGGATGCGCAAGGTCCCTGAAGAAGCTGCAGAGAAACTTCCTCTGGAGAGGAAGTGGACTTCTTTCCTTGATATGGGAAGAAGGGAGGCAAAGTGGTTAACACGGAGAAGTTTGTATCTAAAGGTAGTAAGTGGATGGAGTTGTTGCCAGATAGCTTTTATCAGCTCCATTGTCTGCTTGGCAGAAGAGGACATAATTTATTTTTATCATATTAAAAAAAGCCATAGGTCTGCAATACAATGGGAAAGCTAGAACATGCCAGAAAAGGTGGAGTGGGAGTACAGGCAGGAGAAAAGTCAAGGTGGGCTAAGAACTGCACTCCCCAAGTGCAAGTTTTCATCATGCAAAATTATAGCACACGTACCTTTTCAGCAACTGTGCGCATTTCAGTTCCAGTATATGTAAATTTGGGGTCACTCCTTTTGGGGATAAATTAGAAAAAAAGGCAACTGAGGTTTGGAATATACAAAGGTATTACAGCAAAGTAACAGGACTAGCAGGTTTTGCAGTGAAACCTTAGCAGAAACAAAGGAAGAGGAGGGAAAGTAAACTGAGACTAGAGCTGTGCTCATACACCTGTTAGATGCAGTATTAGACCCACACATAAGTGGCTGAGTGCATGGTTTTCATGGACAAAACAACTCCTACAATTCTGGGTATTAAGGAGGTGGGTTTGACCAGTAGACACCATGCTAAGTTTTGAAGTTTAAATAAAGTTAACCCAAAGTTTTCACCACCTCAGGCATTCAAGACATCAGGGATCTCTGAGATCACTGTAGAGCCCACCCGGAGGAGGCAGAAAGCCACTGACAGTTTGGATGGAGAAATGAATGAGGTGGGGGGGGAATGTCTCTTAATATGCACATTATCTGTCACAAAGAGCTTTCACAGGTTCACTTATGATCTTGGTTCCCCTCATTTATTTCAGATAGGGTCATACATATTTCAACTGAAAATCGTCCTACTAGAAAGTAAGGTGGACACCAACCTTCAGGGTTGAGGCGGAAATCAAAATGTAGTATTGAGGGAGCTCCAGAGTTACAACGTTAACTTTAAATGCAACCCGTACAAAATATTGCCAAACTTGTGATAATTTAAGTTAACAATGGCATAGAGATGAAAAGATAGGAATAAACAAATATAATCTTACCTTGTGTCATCATTCAACTAGAGTGGGAAAGAGCAGAAAACATTATTGATCACATTAAGCATATCAGATGTACATGGATGCAGATTATATGAAAATTAGGTCATGCATTCCTGTACACCGGCATTGAAAGCCTGGAGAAATCCTACTTCGGACTGTCAACAAGTCAGCTCTATTTACTAATCCTCTTTTGCCCCTGTGCAACATTTAACGGAACAGACTTTCGCGTCTTTGAACCCCATGCGTGTCTTCGGTTATTTGGTACCCTCAAAACGCTTCCTAGAGGGGAGAGTGGATGGACGCGAGGCTAGGGACCCTAATCGTAGTCAGCTACTTCGTAATAAATTGATGTCCTCGTTATACTATAATGTCTGTCTGGTCTGACTTGCGGTTTTGGTCAATGGGGAGACAACTCCAGAACTAAAGAAAAGCCACAGACTTCGAGTGAAAAAGCAAGCCTCCTCCTACTCCCTGAGGCTTATGCGGATCGCTGGGGGCTTGCGGAAGCATTAGGCGACCAGAGGAAACGGGGCCCCAAACATAGGACCATTCAAAAGATATTCCAAGGAGCTAAGCCAGGGGTGCTGTGGCCTCCGCAGCCCTGGGCACAGCCAGCACCCGACCCGGGGACCCGGGGGGACTGCTCGGCAGGGTTCCGGCCAGGCTGAGTGGCTTACTCACCTCCCCTATACACAGCCCCATCACCTCCTCCTTCTCTGTGCTCAGAGCGTGGTTGAGACAGACAAGGAAAGCATCCGACTCGAGATGAACCGCCTGCACCGCCTGCACCACCTGCACCGCCATCTTGGTCCGACTGTGCTCACGTCCGCTTCGGGCCCACTCGGGCCTGGCCAACCGGG